TTGTTCTGAGTCTAGGTGTTCTTTGTGTGACATGCCACCGATAGGTGGTATCCGAGGGGATTTCCGCACGGAAAAAAAAAAAGGTGTTCTTTGTGTCCCCCGAGACACAGAATATATTCCTAATGCTGGAGTTCTGCTTTCATGGGTAGTTTCAGTTATGCTGGCTGTAAAAATTTGAAACAATATTCCCCCGCCGTTAAGGTTACTTACATCAATAAGAACTTATAGATTAAGGCTACGGCGGTACTTAATCGACGCACAGAGGCAACTTGACATGGTAATCACTATATATCTTTAATATAATTTCTACTGTTGTATGGGTACGGCAGAGTTGACTTCGCTTGTACTTTCGTAACATTATTTGCATCATCATCACATCAACAGCCTATGATAGTTCACCGCTGAACATAGGCCTCTTTTCTGAAAGGAGGTTTTGGCCTACTATACCATGTTGGCTAGATTGGTATAGAGTTTGTTTTAAGTTTTCCTTCTCTTTGCAATGGTGTTATATTGTTTTCTCCCTTAGTCGACTTTTACGACACCCACGGGATGAATAGGGGTAGTAACATTACATGTTCTTAATCCGTCACCACACGGTCTTTATTTACGTATTTCTTAAATTATTTTAAGTTATTTATTAGTTTTTTAGTGTTGTGTTAATAGTTGAGTATATTATTATTTATTATAATTAAATAATAATAATATATTTTGCTTCTTTAAAGTATAGTTCATATTGGCTTATAAGTATTTAATTTTTTGTCATTGCATAGGCAGATTTACGTCCGTTACTTATTAAAAGTTCTGGTTGAAAACCAGCGCTTGACATCTGTCAAGCTGACGTTGAACCAGGTCCTATTCGACAGGCACGTTAAGTACTTTTTTTTTTAATTTCTACTGTTGTACTATGCTACGGCGGTACTTAATCGACGCACAGAGGCAACTTGACATGGTAATCACTAATATATCTTTAATATAATTTGATTTTCTACTGTTGTTTGGGTACGGCAGAGTTCGCTTGTACTTTCGTAACTTTATTTGCATCATCATCACATCAACAGCCTATGATAGTTCACTGCTGAACATAGGCCTCTCCTTTGAAAGGAGGTTTTGGCCTACTATACCACGGTTGACGTTAGGTACCTACACGTAAAAATATTTTTTAGCTTAAGCCTAGTATTAAGTTTCCTTTAAATTGTGAGTGTATGTTCTTACGTCCACGAATAAATTGTTTTTCTTACTTTCTAGAGGACTGCGACCGAAGGGTGACGGTCGCAACGGGTGACGAGTCGGGTCAATGCCTGTCGTGGGTGGCGGAAGAATGCAATTGCGAATCTCGCTCCCCAGGCCATTGGCAAGAAGAGGAACACCGAGGTGGCTTTTAGTCGGGAAGAGTCCGTCAGACCCCTTCTCCATCCTCCACTGGGCGAAGGACATCCATGAGGATCTTCCACCCCGTTAACAAAAATAAAAACGCGATAACGGCTCCTTCCATTAATTAAAGCGTTATGACATGTGCAATTGAAAAATACCGAATACCCCAAAACTTAAAACTGCTGTGGTGAAAGTTTCGACACGTAAAATTATACCTATATATTAAATTCTCGTGTCACGGTGTGCGTGGTTGAACTCCTCCGAAACGGCTCCACCGATTTTTGAGAAATTTTGTGTGCATATCGGGTAGGTCTGAGAATCGGCCAACGTCTATTTTTCATACCCCGATCAGCTATTTTTGACAAAAAATAAATAAATAATATATATGGCAAAACAACGTTTGCCGGGTCAGCTAGTTTATTTAAATATAATATAGGGTAAACGAGCTCAGTTTGTACACAAACACAACTTTACAATAAATCTAATAGAGGGCTCTGTATTGTTCGTACATATAACATTGGAATAGCGTTTGGTAGTGTAGTTTCTAACATTATCCCAGAGATGGCGCTAAGTAAAACAGTGTGGTAGAAAATGAACTTTTACTTGAAAACTCTTACGTATGGTTTCAATCACTGAAGTGACAAACAAGGACAAATATACTCAAATGGTAAGGGATTACTTTTACTTATGTCTGCAATAGTTGTCTTATTAAGTATTCCACCACCAACAGCCTATAACAGTCCACTGCTGGACATAGGCCTCTCCTTAGAAAGGAGGTCTTGGCCTACTATATTAAGTATTCTATGGGGTAGAAAAACTAAACAACTAAAACCCATCTGTGTTAAAATAGCGCTGCACAATGTATACAAACCTCTACAATTTGTTATTTTATTGTCTAACTAGCTGAGACCCGCGGTGTTACCCGCATTTGGTGTTATAACCGCGGGCAACGCCGCAGGGCGAAGATAGTCTGAAAAAACTAGCCTAAGTTACTCCTTATGTCATCAGCTATCTGCCAGTGAAAGTCCCGTCGAAATCGGTCCAGCCGTTCCAGAGATTACCCGGAGCAAACAGACAGACAGACAGACAAAAATGGTAAAAAATGTTATTTTGGCATATATACCGAAACATACATATGGATTTAGTAAAAAGCGGTTATTTTAATATTACAAACACACTCCAATTTTATTTATTTGTATAGATGTATAGATCAATTAGACAGCTTACGTATACTTTTTATTTTTAGATGTAAACACAACGATGTTCTGATGGTAGTCGGGATTGGGTAAAAATAGTTCTAACTGTAAATCTCCCAAACGCTATGATCGGTACATTTTTAAGAGTAGTAGGTAAGAGTTTGTGGGTTCATTATACAATATGAACCCTGTATAAAACTGAGGATTGAAAATAAGGCAGTCAAAGGGCAATGCCATTTAATAGCTAATATATGGCTGATGGCAACTGCCTCAGAAGCAAAGACGTTAAAGATTCTGCCTTAGTATTTTGACTGCCGCTCTTTAAATAGGTCTATTCACGATCATGTACCCTCATGTAGTTCTTTGTATTAACCTTGCTTCCTTCATATGTATAAGAGAAGTGGTGTCTTGCCTGCGTGTGATCTTCAAGCCAGTATTTGTTGAGGCCAGAAAATCAATTCTCGTAATAAAACATCGCATTCGAATTATAAAGGTATTCTCGTAGTAAATTATTTTAACTAAGACTAGCAGAATACCAATCAGTCACAATACGATATAATCACATTACAGTCAACGTTGGATGTTTAATACTTTACTAAGAAAATACAGTCGAATTGAGAACCTCCTCCTTTTTTTGAAGTCGGTTAAAAATAACTTTTATGACAGTTGTGAGATCCAGAGTTGATCGGAACTGAATTTTGAACTAATTTTATTTACAAGAATTCACCTTCTGAGATGGTTTCGTTGATTCCTCTAGGCCATGGAAATGTGCTAGTTCACTGCCGTCCCCTTTATACTACCTTCAAAGTCGGAGCCTTACCTAAGGCTTAAGAACGCTCTGTAAATGTTTTTATTTAGGTAATCCTCAATCTTAATATAAAAATTGGATATATATTACAAGGAATACAGATAACAATTTAGGTAGGTAATAACTTTACACATCTCATACACGGAAGTCGTAATAAATACTACGATATAAATAAGACGTATAAATACTACGTATAATGGTAACCAGACTGCTGATAAAATTACTTATTTATCCCTAAATACTTAAATCATCTCATTATCATCAACAGCCTTTAATAGTGCACTGCTGGACATAAGACACAGTCTTACAGCCTCTCCTTAGAAAGGAGGTTTTGGCCTACCATACCACGCTGGCCAGACGGGTTGGTAAAGGGTTTGGGTCAAGTTTTCCTTATCTCTGCAGTGCTGTTGTACTACGTAATTTGGTCGATTAGTCGGCTCATCGGCACACGGACAATAATACTTACAATATGTTATAGATAAATTACACTCAGACACAGAACAGAGGATCATGCACATCACACAATTATTTATTCTCGGTGGGAATCGAACCAATGATCTTTAGCTTAGTAGACATGGTCACCAATCACTAGACTAACAGGCTAAACAAATAACCATTTATTCCAATACATACCCACCATTCCTAGAGGTGAGAAAAGAGAGCGAAGGCGGGGTATGCTAGTAAGAAACAAAAATGATACAAAATATTGCTTTGAAAATTTATTATTCAGCATTCTAACTTAAATTTACACATACATTGATTGCATGTTAACTATAAGTTAGTATAAAATAAATTAGTTATAAATATGAGAGAGTATTCAGGCACAAACACTACCATAAAACATAGTTAATAATTTATTTCAATAAATAAACAATCACACCTTACAACTACACTTTTAATAAAAAGTACCAAAATCGTTATAAATAACGATTCACCTTAAAAGTACCTCATTATAAAGTACCAGTTTATTTTAAGAACTCGACACGTGTTCCAAGCAGGTGGGCGAAACCTTAAATAACTCTTGTATTATTAAATTTAATAACAAATGGAACACTATGTCGCGTTCTAAAATTATTATTAATAAAATTACAAGACAAAATTCATAGACCTGTAATATTCTTCTTAATATATGGAACTGGCTCATAAACTGGATCAATATCAATCAATATTTGCTACGAGTATAACCCCATATAATTAAGGAACTTCTCTTAGTAATCAGATTCGAGTGGACGCCCTGAATTCTCGAATACAGCCATTTTGAAATCTCGACAGCCTTGAAAGCTCGAATTCAAAATCGCTGTATTAGAGAGTATACCTATGAGGAAGTATACCTATCCCTTTTCTTGACTTATCTTCTTTTTTTTAAAAACCCCACGATTTTTATAAATTTTTGATTAACGGCAATAGGTTTGCCCCTATTATTAAGTTATATTTATTTATATAGTTACTTATATCTTTACTGCCTAACTTTTCAGATGTAAAGATATGTTTATAGTTTATCCTTTGAATATTAATTCTACGGATACAATCGCACAGAATACAATGTTCCTTTATGTATTATTAAACTTGCATTTTTGTTAAAGAGTTTTCTCTGTAAATATTTCATTCATCTTATTATCACCGTATTATTCTGGTTTATATGCTGAATAAGCCAGTTCATCATAAGCGCGTCTGTCCCAACCACCGCTGCTGCCGCCAGATGACCAACCACTGGACTCGTGGCCACCTCCTCCGCCAGAACCCTTAGCGGACATCAATTTCTTGAGGACCATGATGCCGGACAGGAGGAGAGCAATCTGGAATGTAGAATAGTAGAGAAGTTTATTCATTATTGTTATATTTTAAGTTTCACCGTTTAACTCAATTAAGTTATTGTTAAATCATGATATTATATCAGCGACACCCTAATTATAGATGGAGATATCACTTAATACACATAAAATAGTTAAGCTCTAAAAAGTATTTTTTTTTCTTTATTTATTTGTTTAAATAAGGGCCCAATGGGCGATTATAGATCATGCAGCCAAGCGTGGTGATTGTGACAATATTTATTGGGACCGCTAGTCATAGCGGTGCATGGCTTCGTAGAATTTGTTCATAACGCCATAAAATTTATATAAACCAAGTTATCTGTATTTTTCACCGACTTCAAAATTGAATTAATAATGATAACTTCACACATGTCACACACGGCTGTCTGATTCCAAACTAGACAGAGCCTGTATATTATTCTACGCGTTATATTCACAACGTATTCAAATAACTATTTTCTTTAGTATATTTATTCCACTCCATGTTAGTCTCAATTTGTCTCTTAGTTCTTCTATTAAGAAAATATTCTTCTTCTTCTAAATTACAAAATGAAAATATTCCGTGCGTTTCTACGCTTAGTTTGATAACGCAGATAACGCTGCGTAATACAGCTTACAGTATTTGGGATTTCGAAATGTAAGTTATTAATAATCCGAATGGAAAAATAATTTGATGCCACCTACAGGTGGTATCCGTGGGGATTTCCGCAAGGAAAACAAAAAAAAAAGGGGAGACCGTCTCCTTCTGCGAGCAAGTTATGCTCACGAAGGAGATGGCGGAGCGGGACCGAACCGAGTCCTAAACCTCTCCCGGCCCACCAGGACCAGGAACGGGCCAGGTACCGCAGGCGACTCAGGCGCCGGAGGTCGCAAAACGACCGCGTTGCGAAGCGCGCTCACTTCCAGGGAACAGAGGGAACATGGGGTTCCCACACGGGGGGAGGGGGGGTCGTCTACCTGTTGTTGTAGATGGCCCGAGGTATGTCGGAGCACCAGGGACTTCCTTTCTAGGGTATACCAGGTTCCCCGGCTATTAGTACCCGAGAGGGCATGCGGTTTTAGTCGGTTCGAGTCCGACATGCCACCGATAAGTGGTATCCGCGAGGGAATTTCCGCACGGCAAAAAAAAAGGTACATACTTGTATGTAAACTAACTAATTTCTGTGTTTAAAAGATAATTAACGATAAGTACATGTTAAACGTATAACATTAACTAAGTTTTGTTATCTTTAGTTTATAATGTAATAATAATATTCTTCATACATCTTACACACGGCCGTCTGATCCCAAACTAGGCAGAGCCTATGCTATGGTAACTTTTTTTCTTTTTTTATTTATTTTTGTTCACGGGATGGAAAATCTCTTCGGATCCCCGGCTTCTTGGGGGTGTAGGAGCCAGTTTCCACTAAAAACCACCGCGACCGGCGAGGACCCGGACCATATTATTTCAGGTCGCCCCCGGATCGACGCCACGCCTAATATAGCCCTATCCTGGAGAAGCTGCCTGCTTCCCCCGCCTATTGGCCCAATGCTATAGTAACTAGACTGCTGACAAAAATACCTATATATTTTTAAATACATTCAAAACTTAAATTAATTACATTCAGACTGAGAACAAATGACTGTGCTCATATCACAATATTTGTCCTGGGTGGGAATCGAACCCACTACCTCCGGCTTAGCAGAGAAGCGCGTAATGTAATGTTGATTTTTTATAAAAATCGACCGTTCTAGTTGGTTTATTGATATATAAGTAACCAGCTATGGCCTGTGACTTCGCCCATGTGATTATTTCTTTGTTCGTGTTTCTAACTTTGAAAATGACTTCTATACATCCGTTCATCCCTTATTATACCCCATTTTTATAGGGTTGAAATTTCCAAAAATCCTTTCTCAGTGGATGCTTACTACATACTCGTACAATTTCAATTTTGTAGCTCTACCGGTTTAGGCTCTGCTTTGAGGAAACAGTTCGTCAGTCAGCGCTGACTAGAATAGCGGACTGATTTGAGTCGTAGAGCTCCTTGAGATGTGGTTGAGTTTGCTGATTACTGAAGACCTATCTGATCTATGGTTAATCGTGACTGGTCAACTCATAGCTGATATGGTGATCTCTTAGAAGTATCACCCTAGGCACCTACAGATACTTCTACAGTGGGTTCATGTAAAAGTACGAGTAATCATGTAGAAGTAGTTTCTTCTTAATGCCGGTTCACATCACATCATCACATCAATAGCCTATAATATTCCACTGCTAGACATAGGTCTCTCCTTAGAAAGGAGGTTTTGGCCTACTATACCACGTTGACCAGACGGGTTGGTATTTGTTTCAAGTTTTGCTTCTCTTTGCAGTGCTGTTGTTCTGCGTAGTTTGCTCCCTTAGTCTTACGACACCCACGGGATGAATAGGGGTGGTGAAATTCCGTATTCTTAAATGCTGTGCTAGCTGTAGCTTTAAAGATAAAATCGACGATCCTTTATAGCGGGGGACTTTACAAACATAAATTAAACGGACACAAAAGACACCCAGACTCAGAACAACAATCTGTGGATCACACTAAGTCTTGTCCCAAGTGGGGATTGAACCCACAACACTCAGCGCCGCAAGAAGCGGCGTGGCGACCAACCTTAAACCACTATGCCATCCGTGCAGTCCAAAACAAAAGTAGAGCAGTCGTACATAACTCCTCTGTTCTGCTTTAATACCGGTAGTCGTTGACGTTAATAGTTTGGAAATTTTCATGTTGATAATAGCTGTTATCACGCTATGGGAATCTTAGGAGATGAGCAGTGATGTATGTATAGTAATAGACCACATGCCACAGTATATATATTTACATACATACAAGATGTTTGCTCTTTTGTTATAAACATGGTTGAACACATTGCTGCAATTTGATTGTTAAGGCAATAATTTTCTTGGTAAGGTTTGGCCTACACTAATCTTTGTATAGTCCAAAGCTTGCCTGTGACACGTACATACCTCAGCCTATGCTTGTCCACTGCTGGACATAGGCCTCTCCCAATGATTTCCAGCGGGGACGGTTGATTGCGGCCTGCATCCAACGGTTTCCGGCAACCTTTACCAGGTCGTCCGTCCATCGGGTAGGCGGTCGTCCCACACTGCGCTTTCCAGTGGAGAACCTTGCTGCCCCATCGGCCGTCAGTTCTCCTTGCTATGTGCCCTGCTTATTGCCATTTGAGCGCGCTAATCCGTTGGGCTATGTCGACCACCTTTGTTCTCCTGCGGATCTCCTCGTTGCGGATTCGATCACGCAGGGAAACGCCAAGCATAGCCCTTTCCATAGCACGCTGAGCGACTCTGAGCTTTCTGATTAGGCCCATAGTAAGAGACCACGTCTCAGTTCCGTAGGTCATCAATGGTAACACACACTGGTTGAAGCATTTCGTCTTTAGGCACTGAGGTATTTTGGACGTGAAGACGTTTCGTAATTTCCCGAACGCTGCCCAGCCGAGTCGGATTCGACGATTGACCTCTTTCTCGAAGGTGGACTTACCTAATTGGACCGTTTGTTAGGACAAACGGTCGTATTAGTAGACATATTCGTCAACAACTTCGAGGACAGAGTTTCCCACGACTATGGGAGTCGGCGCGACATGGACATTCGACATGATTTTCGTCTTGTCCATGTTCATTTTAAGGCCGATCTGTTGAGAAACTCCGTCAACGTGACACGTATTAATAAGTTTTGATAAAAGACTTTAAAGCGCAAGGGAGCCGACGCGTCACCTGGGCCTCAATTCTGCTATTTTATGTTAACGCCAAGCCACTGTCATTCCATTGACACGCTATTGAGACGTCATTGACAGCGGTCAAAATCAGTATTCTACTAACTTAAATTCAGAGTGTCAATAGACTGTCGATGTAGTAATATAGGTTATCAATGGTGAAATCAACAATATTGCCATACCTGGATCATTTTATAACAAATTTAAAATGTACCGTTTACCCAACTATTACAAAGACTTCGATATTTGTATCATATAGGGGATTGGACTAATCCCACCCACACGCCCACCGCTGTAACTCCTGTACACCAGGATCCACAGCAGTGACCCACGAACACACCGAGTTATGATACTCGGGAAGTCCCAGGAAGAAATTAAACTGTCTTGGAACCCGCAACGAAATTAATCAGAAGAAAATTGGAGGAGTTGGAAATACAGTAAATCCACTTCCCTCCTTAGCAAAGCGGGAGACAAAATGAAGTAAAAAGGGCATACACCCTTTTAAACAGGGAAGCACCACGGCCACAAATATTACGGGTCCTACGTGAGCTATGTTTGATTTCTATAATATGTATGGCAGAATCGCCTAAACGCACGGAAATTCACCCTAGTTGACACAAGATCCCCATAGTATACCGCCCCAGATGTCACCTGCAAGCTATTCAACATTATATTACGTTCATTATACCAAAGACTACATTCCCAGAGGATATGATGAGCAGACTGTTCATAGTGAGAGTTAGGTGTTGAGCATTGACACAATGGTGACTCGACTAATTTAAATGAATAAAGCTTGCTCTTAAAGTTACCATGACCCGTAAGAAATTGAGCGACACAGTGATCCACCTCAAGCCATATCCTCGACAACCGTTCGCGAACAGATGGAAAGAATTGGTATTATTATTTGTATCAGTGACAAGTCATCGGAAGGCCATTGGTCTTACATCATCATCATCATCATCAACAGCCAACTCAAGAGTCACAGAGTTCATTATCGCCGTTTGGTTAAGAATCAGAGGGAGGAGGAGTTTAGGCTCTAGTAACTTCACTCACTCATTGAAAAGTAACGAAGAGATAGATTAACGTCACACCGTTGTAATCACACTGATCATGCCAAATCATATCCGTGTAGTGACGAATTAAGAATACGGATTGTCACTACCCCAATTCATCCCGTGGGTGTCGTAAGAGGCGACTAAGGGCGCAAAACAACGCAGGACACCAGCACTGCAAAAAGAAGGAAAACTTGATACAATCCCTATACCAACCCGTCTGGCCAGCGTGGTATGGTAGGCCAAAACCTCCTTTCTAAGGAGAGGCCTATGTCCAGCAGTGGACTATTAAAGGCTGTTGATGTGACTACCCCAATTCATCCCGTGGGTGTCGTAAGAGCCGACTAAGGGCGCAAAACAACGCAGGACACCAGCACTGCAAAAAGAAGGAAAACTTGACTCAAACCCTATACCAACCCGTCTGGCCAGCGTGGTATAGTAGGCCAAAACCTCCTTTCAAAGGAGAGGCCTATGTCCAGCAGTGGACTATTTAAGGCTGTTGATGTGATGTGATGATGCCAAATCATTGGTACCTGAGCCACTGGCCTGAGCCACTGGCCTGAGCCACTGGCCTGAGCCACTGGCCTGAGCCACTGGCCTGAGCCACTGGCCACGCCTGAACCATTGGCTCTGCAACGGTTATATTCTTGATTAAAAACTTTACTAAATAATTATATACATACACGGGAATGAATAACATGAATGAATGGTGAATGAATGAATGAATAACACGTAACAGATAGTATATACTGTTGATTAACCTACCTCTGAGGCCGTCTGTAATCACGATCAAATTATCAAAAATCATGCTTTTACATTTTTTATTTAAATTCTCTTGCTGCTTTTTAATGAGTTATTAATGTTACTGAAAGTCCAAGGAATAATGACAATTGATCCACTGAAAAATGCTAAGCGTTTTTAAGGAAAAAGAAGTAGACAAGTATTCAATAAGTGTATTTATGGTAGTGTGCAGGACACAGTGAGCGCGCACGGTATTTCGCGTGCTCGCGTGCTTGTGGCTTTTGTACAATGCCCTGCTCCTTGGGAAATGCCGGTATTGCTTTCATTTTTAAGGCTTCCGTTTTATTTTGTGGTTAGAGTATATACAAAGTACCAAAGGGGTTGGTTAACGTAGGTTAGGGCTGCTAGGTACCTACCTAGCAACTCTAATTATATTATTAATAAGGATGAAATAATGCTATGTTTCGACAAAGCCTTAATGCTTTAACTGAACAATCATCATGAAACTTATTACGATACGAAAAATAGCAAAGACGCCTTTTATCCGAAATGGACTAAGATGCTCAAAGAACAAAAGAACAACAACTTGTATTGATATTTGTAAATTTTATCTAAATATTTGTTTGTTGTTTGTTTTTTTTTAAAACTCCCGCATTAGGAATATATCCTGTGTCGCGAGATTTACAAACATACATGAAACCGACACAAAGAACACCCAGATTCAGAACAACAAATTTGTGAATCACACAAAGTGTCGTCCCATGTTGGGTTTGAATCCACAACACTCTGCGTAGCAGGAAGCGGCTAAAACCACTACGCCATCCATGCAGTCTGAAAACTGTTTTTACAAATAACGTTATCATCACCTAGCTAAACTAATTATAAAGCCAATAAGCACGGTTTTTTTGAACCCCGCTTCATTACAATGCGGAAATTAATTACTAATTCTAGTCAATTTATTCTGTTACGATATAAGTGTGTTAGTATCGTGCGTAAACACTTGTTCGTGTATAAACTGACGGAAGCTCCTTCCTTAGCTATTTGCTACTTAATGGTTGTAGGAAAGTGAATGCATATTTCTGGATGATACGGGAGATTAGTTGCAGCTCAGACGCTGATATTCTAAATATTGCTTTGACTTGAACCATGAACCATCATACAATCAAAGAATTGTTTGTCTTTTATTCATTCATACATATTCGTACATTACATATATCCTCATTTTCGTTAGGGGTAGGCAGAGGATAAAACGCCATATGATAGGATCCTGACATACAGCTCGCGTCTTTTTCACACTCCTTGGGTCTTTTATATACGTGTGCTGGTTACGGGTTGTTTTAACAAGGTCTTTTTTTAATTTGCTTTATCTTTGTCGTTCAAAATGTAAGGAATCAATTCTTAAAAATATTTGTATTAGGTTAAAATATAGAATCCACGAGCTCCAATATAGCAATTTATTTCAATACGGCCATGTCACAGGTCTATAAAAAAAAAATATAGTTTTAAAAAACTAAAAAACACGCTGTCTATTAAATTTGAAAAAAAGCGTTGGGTGCCTGTTGTCAATAGTAAAAAGCACCCCACGCGTTTTTTCAAATTTAATAGACAGACATATTTAATAGACATTTTTAGTTTTTTAAAACTATATATTTTTTTTTTAAATTAGTGTATTGTCATCGGTCCTCGATATATCGTTTGTACATACCAACAATATATACAAAGTTTGAACGAATTCTGACCGTTTAAAGTCAGTCAAAATCACGACCAAAAGAGTCGGTCACAAACATACAAACAAACATACAAGTGAAGCTAATATAAAGCGTGTAATAAATAAAATTGAAGTGTCTGTTTGTAATGTCAAAATATTAGGTATTTTTCATGCTTACACGGTTATTTGCACGATAGCAATGCCTAAAAACCAGTTTAAATATTTTCTGGCTGTCTGTCTGTTTGTGCCGGGTAAACGTCTTCAAAACGGCTTTACCCATTTTGATAATATTTTACTACAAAGTAGCTGTCTATATAAGGAGTAACTTAGGCTATTTTTTCTCTCAGTATATAAAATTTTTCCTGTCCGGGATTCGAACTCACTAAGGCAGTGCTTTTCAAATTCCACTCGTCCGAAGTCGCGGGCCCCAGCTAGTCATTAATAAAAACAGTGTAACAAATAAAATGTGTCACAAATACGGGCCTAACAGTACTGTGGGATACATAATTTAATTTTATAAAGATCTATGAATTGGCACTATTAACAAATTTACAAAAAAAAAACGACCAAGAATGCAACCTTGGTAAATGTAGGTATATTAAAATAAATTCTCGTATTGTTAGCAGCATTGTTACTATACGAACTTGTAACCGCGTGCCCGTACACAATCCGACCCGTATGTTGTCACGTTCATGCTAGTAATATAAAAGTAAATAGCATTGACGTACAAATTTTTACCTGCGATGTACATGCAACCGAACTAATAAATCAGTTCACGATATATAGGGTCTACCAACAAGAACGTCCTGGTTTAAAAATTGAATAAAACACACAATTTTTTTATGAAAAATTGCTCGTCGAATGTTGGTTTTTAGGTCACGACTTGTAGCTGGATTATTGCTGTACACTTTAGATTTAACGTAACCCCAAAGAAAATAGTCTAAAGGTGTTAAATCACACGATCTTGGTGGCCAACTGATCGGTCCATTTCTCGAAATTAACGACTCACCAAACTTTTGACGCAATAATTCTATGTTCACTCTAGTAATGTGAGGTGGTGCACCGTCTTGTTGAAAATAAAGGTCGTCTGCATCAATATCATCAAATTCCGGCAAGAAATATTCGGTTAACATCGAGCTATAGCGTTCGCCATTCACAGTAACAGGGTTTTACTTCGTCACTTTTAAAGAAGTACGGACCAATGATTCCACCGTACCATAAACCGCACCAAGCTGTTATTGCACACACGTGGATTTGACTCATTCCAATAGCGACAATTTTGTTTATTAACAAATCCATTGAGCCAGAAATGGGCCTCATCTGAGAAGATGATTTTACGATGAAAATCGTCATCGTCTTCCATCATTTCCAGTGCATAATCGGCAAATTCACGACGGATACAATAGTCGGATGGCTTCAATTCTTGTGCCAAAACAATTTTGTATGGGTGTAAGCCCAAATCCAACTGCAAAATACCTCAGGTGCTCATTGGAGAGAGCCCCAACTCTTGTGAACGGCGTTGAACTGATCGATTTGAATTCGCATCAACACTGGCCTGAACGGCTGCGATATTTTCTTCACTACGGGCATTTCTTTGTCTCACAGGCACAGCAGTATCGTGGAGAGTGCATTCACTTTCAAATTTTGTTATTATGCGATTTATAGCGCGCACAGAAGGAGCACAATGACTACCGTTTTTTGCGCGAAGCGCTCTTACTGTAGCGGTAGGAGAACGCGAATTTGCGTAATAATTTTGGTCAATTTCCAAGCGTTGGTTTAAAGTGAAACGTGACATGATAAAATGGCAAACCTTACTGAACACAAATGTCAAGAGACGTCAAAGATCCATCATCAAACATGGCCGGTATGAGCTGTCAAAACCAGGTCATCCCTACTGGTAGACCCAGTATTTGTTTAAAGAAACCGATAATTATTATTACTTAAATCTACTTTTGTGTACTATATACATATTTAACTTTATCTACATATTGATATTACCACGTAAATAAAATTGATTGTTTGCAACCTTTTTTAATAGGAATAATAACCTCGCACATCTCACACACGGCCGTCTGATCTCAAACTAGGCAGAGCCTGTGCTATGGTAACCAGACTGCTGATAAACATACTTATTATATTAAATACATACATATTATAGATAAATTACACCCAGACACAGTACAAATGATCGTGTTCATCGCATAATTATTTGTCCTGAGTGGAAATCGAACCTACGACCTACGGCTTAGCAGTCAGGGTTACTAACCACTAGACCAACAAGCTGTCCGGAAGGATGTTATATTTTAAATACTCATGTGTTGTGAATGCATTTTAAGACATAGTCTATTAATGATATGACTGCACGGATGGCTAAGTGGTTTAAGCGGTCGCCACGCCGCTTCCTACTACGCCGAGTGTTGTGTTCCGATCCCCACATGAGACGACACTTTGTGTGATCCACCAGGGACTTCCTTTCTAGGGTATACCTGGTTCCCCGGCTATTAGTACCCGAGACGGCGTGCGGTTTTACCACCGACAGGTGGTATCCGAGGGGATTTCCGCACGGAAAAAAAAAAAAAAAAAAAAAAAAGTACCTACACGTAAAAATATATTTTCGCTTAAGCCTAGTATTAAGTTTCCTTTAAATTGTGAGTGTATGTTCTTACGTCCACGAATAAATTATTTATCTTTCTTTCTTTCTAGTGGACTGCGACCGAAGGGCGACGGTCGCGACGGATGATGAGACGCGGGTCAATGCCGTCGACGCTGGTCAATGTCGGGGGTGGCGGAAGAATACAATTGCGATTCTCGCTCCCCGACAATTGGCAAGGAGAGGAACACCGAGGTGGCTTTTAGTCGGTAAGAGTCCGACAGACCCCTTCGCCATCCTCCACTGGGCGAAGGACATCCATGAGGATCTTCAAACCCGTAACCAAAAAAAAACTCGATGACAGCTCCTTCTATTAATTAAAGCGTTATGACATGTGCAATTGAAAAATACCGAATACCCCAAGACTTAAAACTGCTGTGGTAAAAGCTTCTTCGATACGTAAAATTATATATATAAAATTCTCGTGTCACGGTGTGCGTGGTTGAACTCCTCCGAAAGGGCTAGACCGAATTTCGTGAAATTTTGTGTGCATATCGGGTAGGTCTGAGAATCGGCCAACGTCTATTTGTCATACCCTGATTATTGACAAAAAAAAGAAGAAATAATGTATAGTGCAAAACAACGTTTGCCGGGTCAGATAGTTTAATATAATATAGGGTAAACAAGCTCAGTTGTGAGTTTGTACGCCACAAACTTTAAAATAAATCTAATAGAGGGCTCTGTATTGTTCGTACATATAACATTGGAAAAGCGTTTGGTAGTGTAGTTTCTAACATTATCCCAGAGATGGCGCTAAGTAAAACAGTGTGGTAGAAAATGTACTTTTACTTGAAAACTCTTACTTATGGTTTCAACCACTGAAGTGACAAACAAGGACAAATATACTCAAATGGTAAGGGATTACTTTTACTTATGTCTGCAATAGTTGTCTTATTAAGTATTCCACCACCAACAGCCTATAACAGTCCACTGCTGGACATAGGCCTCTCCTTAGAAAGGAGGTCTTG